AAAAAAAAAAAAAGACCCCTAAATACCCTTTATTCTTCCCTAAAGCTGCGGTCATGTGACACTCCAGTACCAGGCCTTCCTTCCTCTTCTGTTTACTTCCAGCGTGGTCCTTATTCAGGTATCCGTGTCACTAGCTGCGTGATGTGGACACCCGAGTAAGGACCACGCTAGAAGTAAACAGAAGAGGGAAGGCCGGGCACTGGACTGTCACATGACTTCCTGTTAATTTTCCAGTGGCGGGGTCCTCACACGATCCAGAAGAGGATTTCTATAGCAATGTACAAAAGGAAGGCTGGTTTTTTTTCTCCATTGGGAAGAAGTGACATGAGTGCCGAGGCACTCCTGGTGAACGGTGGCCTATGGCGTATCTGGGTAAGCAGTCTCCTGCATCCGGAAATGGCAACGGTTTTGACTGCTAGTGACAGGAGGGAATGCCGCTGTGGACCGCCGCCGGAGCAGCTGTAGGAGACCCGGAGGCTGCTGCATTGCAGGCAAGTGGGGGAAAAAAGACCACACAGGGAAAATTCTGAAGCAGAGGTCTTGCACTAGGGGGACTCCCCTGAGTCCACAACACCAAAGGGCTAGTTGCCATGCATACTCTTTGCAGGAAAACTATAGGCATTTTAAACATTGTTTTGGACACTTGGGGCTGTCCTGGAAACCCCCCCGTCATGGGTACCCCAGGTCCACTGACCCTCCTGCTGCACTCCATGCTGGGGGAAGCCCCTACTCACGAGCACAAAGGCCTAGGAAAAACAACAAACGTTACAATGTCCTGCTCGGCCGGAGGAAACACAAAGTAACTGAAGTGTGCTAAGCTGGTACTCTTATTTTAGGTGTGGGTGATGGTTTCCTGTTTCTGGTGGGAGGAGCCTATCTGATGCTGTACTGGTAGGTGGCTAGAGAAATAATTAAGCTACCAGCAGGTCTCTGGAGTGCAAGGGCAAACCAGAGTACCCAAAGGAAACCCACAAGCACAGGGAGAAAAAGCAAATGCCATGCAGATCATGTCCGGTCAGGATTTGAAGGGGCCATGTGCTGCTATAAATTGCACCAAAGTCTTGACCATGCACAGATTTTGCATATTTGCAGAGCTGCCAGTTTGCTTGTAGACTAGGCAGCCCTGAAGATTTTCATCCTTGAAACCTTATGTATTTATATGGATTACAGATTAGTTATGTTTACACTGCCAAGAAATCCATTCCACCGCTTTGATTTTGTATGAAGACAAAGACCAATACAGATTGCAATGAATCTCACTTATCAGTAATTAGGTGTCCAAGGAAGGCAGATGCAATTTCCATGTGTCAGTTTTTATATCTGCTTTTAGGAACATGCAAATGTGCCACATTGAATCCTGCAACATTTTTACAGCATAAAGACCAGACAAAGCTTTGGTAAATTCATTCTTTAATTTTTGAAAAGTATCTCCAGTGGTTCATTGACAGGGAATTCACCCTCTGCATACCTCTAGAAAAAAAGGTCAGTCGAGACAGATTTACAGCTGCATCCACACATACAAAATTTAAGGTTAAGAAATTTGGCAATTTGATAATAACCCGTTTTGTTTAGTCTATTGCCATCGCCCCAACCATTTCAAAATAACAAAACCCAAAAATGTTTACAGAAACATATTTACAAATCAAAAAACTTCAAAGTGCTTCAGAATAGTGATTGTGTTCTCGTAAAGATATGTACAACTGCCTATACAAGTATGTACATGTGAATTCACTATATATAGCACAATGTTTCCTTGCTGGGGTATGGCTTCTTATGGAAAGTGCTTTTTACAGTACTTGGGTCAGTGGGAGTGTGAGAAATTGCTAATACTGACAACAGAAAAAAAAAAACCAACTAAAAGGTTCGGGGGGAGGACTATAAATACATGGTAACCACATCAAGAGCTGAACAAGCATATTATGAAATATATACAATAGGCTTCCATTTCAATGTCCATTCATAAAAGGCTTGACATGTACAAAATTCTTTACACGGGGGTTAGGATTTGTTCAGCTTCTGGTCTGGTTACCATCCAGAACGGAAGAAAAATCCAGTTGAAGCAGTGTAGACTGAAGGAGGATGGTGAATGCCAACCATATAGAGTTTTGCTCATGAGAGATCATCTTCTGTATTTACAACAGATATCTAAAACAAAACACACAAGTAAAAAATTAGATCATACAAACTGTCACAGGTTGACTGAGTTTGTAGGATGGGCACAGGGTAACAGGCAAAAATAAGAGCCACAACCTACATAAAAAACAATATAAACGTTTGGGATTTCTGCAATTTAGATCCAAAGTCTGCAAAAAATAAGCACTTCATGACATGCCATCTGCTATTTGTACTGCAATTTAAGACCATCCTTATATCAAACTATAGAACATAATCACGAACAATTTTGAAATAGTGTTATGGCCTAGTTTGAAAGCTTTACTCCCCTGGGGGCCATATTCTTAAGACAATCTTGAATACAGTGACCCAGTTAACTAGAATTAAAGTCAGACATTTTTGAAGCCTAGGTGCAAAATTTAATACACTCCCAGGTTAAAAAAAAGAAAACATTTACTATGCAAATGAGGCAGAAGAGCCTTCTTTAAAGCCATGTACTTGGCTGAAATACCCCATTTGTTGAGAGATCACATCCCCCCACCCCTCCAATCACAGAAAGACTTGCATTCTGAAAAAATTATGCAGGAAGAACTTTCATCCAAGCAGCTCATGTCCAAGGCAATTCATAGAAGACAGATTCCTAAAAAGGAATGCATACCTATTGTGAGGCATACCATGACCACTAGAAACCTTTTGTTTGCCACACCAGTTTCAAGATTGTTTAGCCATTAATAAAAAAAGCTCCCAAGTTTAATTGGAGAGCCATATGAAAAGATGAGCACATGTTAAAATTGTGGTGACAGCTGCTAAAATGCAGAAACTGCAAGTTGAAATTGTTTTGCATTTTAGCACACCAAAATGGTCCAGTCCAGCACAGCATCCCACTGTACCTTTATGGTCTAATGATTTAGCTCTAAAATGAGAGCCAGATCACATTCTTTAGAGTCATCTCAAGATGGTGTCTGGCTTCCACAGATGCAGCCAAAGACTTACCCAATTAAAAACAGACTTCCTACAATTTTGGTTGAATTCACTGGTTAGCTGGGCTGAGCCCTGGGTAATTTGTTTTGCCCTTGGAATAAATTGCTCCTCCCTGGGTAATTGAAACAAGCCGCTTATCATTTTTTTCCCCTGCACCTTTAAAAGATACTTACTGCTGGGTAAGTGTGCCCCACACTGGCACCGTGTCTTCCAATATCTATTGTGAGGTCCTCTTCTGTGGTTTTCAAGTAGACCGGATTATCAAAATTCATGCTTTTCATGCTTTTCCTCTGCCAGTTCCGCCACATTAAGTAAGCTCCTGTGGCAACCATCACTAGTAATACTGGAACATAAATGAGCACATGTATTAAACATTTTAGGAAGAGCAGTTGAGCCCTTATGGAGCTTCCAAATTGTACTTACAGAGTGGAATAATAGCCCATGCTGCAGATGAACCTTTGGCAGCAAGATTTGCTTCAAGTACTGAAGTACTACTATTACCTTCTGAAAAATAGAAAAACCTAGTTAAACAGTAGTCCATGACCTACCGTAGTTATACACACAGACAAGCTGACCATTAACACACCAGCTAATCAATAAGTCAGTATTCGGCTTTTCAAATAAGTTCTACATTCAAGCACTTACCCCCTGGAAGTGCTTTTTCAGGATGTAATCCTGTAATGGCAACAGTAATGGCAACAGTGGGTTCCTCAGCTTTGCTACCTTGAAACAAACATAACAGGAGTTTGTTATCTGCCGATTGTGGGTGGGGCGCAAGATAGGCAAGAGGCAGTGTTCATGCAGGAAAGCCAACAGCTTATGTATTCCAACAGAAAGCTTGAGAAAAAACCCCTTGAAAACTCCAACAGGACAATGATCAGATATGAAATATACAAACATTAACAGTAAGAAATGTATTAAACCTAGTTGCAACAATGGTTCTCACAAAGGACAAACAGTACATATCAGACAGGTGGGGGGTATGGAAGGTGGGGGGTATGGATTTTTTAACAGACCTAAAAACATTTCATTAGGGATTTTAGGGTCAAGAGAGAAAGGAGAAAAAAGAAAAAAAGCCCTCTGCACTGGTTTAAACTACTCCAGAAATGACCTGCACTTAAAATTTACCCATAGCTGTTTGGAGGTCAAAGACCAGGAGCATGAGCCATCACAAACATTAGGATATTAAAAACCTGGGCTACTCAATCTGAATATATGATAGGAGGGAGCACAATCAGAGGCTACAAGTAAAAACACGCAACAGTCTTTCATACAGGTTTTACAGATCATTTTGACATTAGTTTTCAGTGACCCCCCACTTATTGTGCTCAGTTTGAATGACAGTCGATCTGTAATTCCATGCATGTACATTACCAAACTGCCTGAAATTAAAAATGGCATACAGACTACCTCCCCCAAGCTACTAAAAAAAATGGCTTGAGTCAAAGACATCTCTGGTTCTAGTTTCCCCCGTTAAAAATTGACCATTGGGGGTACAGAGTTTTTTTTGCCATCTGCCTCTATGGCAAAATGTCCTCATGGGTCACTGGAACTGAGGAAGTGATCCAAAATGGGAACACAACCTGGAAACCTTGCAACCTTTGCTCGCTATGCAAAAAAAAAAATTTGGAACTGGTGTTCCAATTTGTGCTTCTTTGTGATGGAGTATCGACATACCTTTTCTGCAGTTCCTGCCATCATAAAGGTCTGAGCCAACAGGGCATGTGCAAGTATATCTGGGTGAGCGATCAGTTATCTGTGGAGCAGGTAAACACAGATGCTCACAGCCTCCATTTTCTTGTAGTCCATTACACCAATTTTTTCCTGTTGGGCAGAGAGTTTAAGGTTATTGGATTTGATTAGAAAAGGCCACAAGACAGTAGCACCTACACATTTCTGGCAAAAGCTGGTCCCAAACCAATAAAGGCTTAAAGCACACCTATTAACACCCGACACTGATTTCACAACAAGCATACATTATTCAAAAGCACATTTGACATTCACAAGCTTAATACCATCTTAAAAGCAAACAGTGGTAGTGCCCACTTGTGATACTTGGCACAAAATTCACAGGTCATAATTCAAAGACTTACCTTTAGGCTGTACAAGTTCATGGTAGACTATAATGTCTTGAGGATCGTTTAAATTGTTGAGCAAAGTTTCAATCCCTTCTCCTGTGTACTTGTTGGCACCATAAATTGCTTCATTTTCACCATCAATCCAGTACACGCGATCCTACAGGTTACCAAAAACATTAGTATATGGATATTTACATTATACTGAGCCAGGGTAAGGTTTTAAGCTTCCAACACTCCCATTGCTGTCTGTAATCTCAAACAGGCAGGAGGCACCATAGCATACGTTTTCCACATCTTTGATATTGGTACTGGGCATGTGCCCACATCTGTTCATAGCAGGTATGAGAATCACAAAGCAGCAATGGAGTGCCAGAAACCGCAATTCTAAACAGGCCAGGCAGTGTTACCTACTGCTAAAGATAAAATTAAAGAATTGCTGTGGGAGGGTGAGGAACCTGCATAAGGCATTTTAACAGAGCACTGATTCTTTATGACTAAACAAGCCAATAAGCCATGAGCCATTCTGCCTGAATGACTAGCCATTCTGCTAGAGGTACCCGATTGCTTGAATGGAGCTCGGGAATGTGTGCCCCTTCCTATCCTGGACTCTTGTCACCTGTGACCAGTCCTGCACTTAGTGGCTGATCTTCCCCCTTAGTTCACTGAACCTGGAAGAGATTGTGCATCACTTCTGGTTTCAGTCTTACAATTTTCCAGCTGCTGTGACTTGCGTAGCTGATTAAGCATGATCTGTGGTTCAGCTTCTTAGGAGTCTACAGGTGATAGATCTAAGATCCCTGATGTAGCAAAAAAAAAGTCAAACTACAAATTCTTTATTTTTTTTAAAGTCCCCCACACATACAAAAACACGTGTCGATGTGCCCATGTGCCAAAATGAGCACTGTGTCACACACCATAAACCTCTAAACGAGGGCAATTAGGGAAGCCCCGACAGGTATAAAACTGAGAATTTGGGCAAGTACTCCTACACACCCAAATGCTCCTGCAGATATGGAAACTTCTGGTATTAGGAAGCTGGGTGGAGTAGTTACCTGCCCCCCCGGCTTCCTTAATGGGACTTCCGGTATTGTTCAGTAAAGAAAAAAAATAAAAAGTGGTACTCTATACTGCTGTTGAGGATGCACTGGTTACCAGTTCAGTCAATTCTAGAGTCATTAATCACAGTTCACACTAAATTTATAAGTGGTAAAAGCTTTTAAAGTATTGCCTATGGCCATTTTTAGGTATGGTAGTTTGCCATTTTACAGGCGCATGCAAGGTTTGGTATCCATTTACCTCAGTCAACCATATCTTTTACCAAAACTTAGGTATTTTTTGTTCCTGTGCAACATTTTTTAGTGTATTTAATCCTTGGTCTGAAAAACATTTGTACAAATCATGCAACAAAAAAATTGCAACTCTATTTTCTGAAAGCAGAGGCCCTGTAGAATTGTATGGGGCTTTTAAGCCATTTTCTAGGCAAAAATTCAGATTTTATTGTGTGCAAAGAGAAAATGCTCGGGATGGCAAGTGGTAAGACTAACATTTCCAGACACTGAAAGGTGCAAAACTTAATCATTTCCTACATACCTTTTTTAAAAAGTTAACCTAAATCGGTCTATTTTCTACAACTGAAAAAACAAACCTACAAAGTAAAAGTTTACAGCCAGCCTATTGTATAAGTGACACCGCAGCTCATTTGTAGGACACTAAAAAAAGGTGCATGCTGCACATCTAAAGCTACACAAGGGTGCAATGTTACAGTATCAGACTTGACTACAACAAGAAACAGACCCATATACTTGGCAATTGTGCACTGGCATGTCCTGTACAGACCTGTGCATAGCAACTAGTAGTTTGTTATAAAAGCTAATCATATTATTATGTATTGCTGACCTGGAGGTCCTTTCAAAACTATTACATGCATGTAGTTTTTTTTAAATTTAGGATAAAGTGGGGAAGGTTAGAACATGTCAAGTTATGGATGAGTGTGCCCCTGCTGGGTAGATACACCCACTTAAACTTGTCCTGGTGACCTTCATCACCAAGACAGAGTGATGGCAAACACACAAAAGTCTTGACAAAAGTTGTGTAGAACCTTAGTCCAGGGAGGGAAACAAAAAAGCCACAAAAAGAAGTTTTAGTAGAAGGGGAAGACAAGACCGCTCAGATCTGTCTTTGTTGCAGATTCTTACTTCCCGTCAGGTAATAAGTCAGAACAAGTGAGAAGTTTTACTCGATAGCAGTAGAGACAGAGGTTCTATTCCTTTCCCCACTAAAGTGTACGTCAAACCAAAAACTTTAAGGCCTTGTTCACACCAAATGCAGAGCAGATCTGCATGAGTTCCTGCACACGCAGTGCAGTGGGTTGTGCCGCGTTTATGCGCCCCGGGCCGTTTTTGGTAAAAACAAAAAAAAAATAGTTTTAGTTTAAAATGGGCTTTGTGTGTTCCAGGGCGTTTGCATGTGTTCCAGAGCAGGTAAAATAGGGCCTGCTGCAGTTTTTTTACCTGCTCTGGAACGGAACACTGCGATGTGAACTCGAGCTAAAAATACCATTGGAATACATTGGACGCAGTTTTGCTCCGGTCTGTAACTGCTCTGCTCCTGGAACGCGCTTGGTGTTAAGGCCTAAAACACTTGCTTATTCTATTGAAAACTAGAAGTTTTGGCTAAACACATGCACTTTCTTGCAAGTAATGGTCAGGTAAACTACATGAGATATTAATACCTCAAAAATTGTAAGGGCAAGAGGATAAGCCAGAAATTGTTGGGATTTCAAGATGATCCGGCGGTCCTGGCCATTTAGATCCACACTACACAGTTGGTGCAGCTTCAGATCAAGCCAATAGAGACGGCTTTTCACCAAATCTACAAAAGTAAATAAAAAAATTGAAGCCAGGAAGGAATTGTTAATTTCACAATGTTCCTGGTAAAAAAAAAAAAAAAAAAAAAAACCCCTAACCCCCCCCCGCCACAAGTCCAACTCTTACCACCCCAAATCTAAAACTAGGAGCTTTGTCTAAATTCCACAAACAATGAATTGTACAATCTAGAAGTACATTCACATTACAAAAAAAATTAAAAATCTTACCCAAAACTATTCCACTTGGGCGTTGAATATCAGTTGTAACCAGTGACTGTCTGTTTATTCCATTCATTCCAGCCTTCTCAATCTTGGCAGCTTCACCCCAGTCTGACCAGTAGATAAATCTGAAATATAAAAAAGTACCAGGAAAATAAGTCAGAATATACACAAGCGACCACTGTCCCCACTCTGTTGGCTCTTTAACTGCAATGCTTTAGCCTTTGTTTTCCTTTTTAAAACTGCAAAACATAAGAGGAACATGCCTATTCAAGCTTGCAACCTATGTGTTAGGAAATTTGTCACCTTGTCAGGTACTCCCCCATTAAATGCGCTCACCCTCTGCTCTATATCAGAGCCCTAAAAACACCTACTGGGTATGGGAGGGGTGAGCATGTGAACTTCTCCCCTTCATTCCAGGATGCTGTGCTTGGTTGCAAGCAGCTAACTAGCAGGCCCAGTCACATGATTGTGGTTTGTAACCCTGTGTAAGCTCAGACAAAACATGTGGCATTGATGCAAAGTTGGTGGTAAAACGAAGTTAGTCTTTATCAGAGGCGGAATGGAAGCTTCCAATGGGTATACAACTGTCTAGGAGGGCATTTCACTCACCTGCTGTTGGTCTCTGGGGAACGAGTAATTAAATCTCCAGACAGGGTTTAGATACTTTAGCCATTTACCTGTCATTCTGCTTAACTGTATAGATTAATGTATAGTGAATGTTATGGCTCACATGGGAGAGATCATGTCACTACACAAGCAAATCATTTCAGGCAGGACCTGGTACTGTGTTACATACAACTGCACCTTGGTCATGCCTGGGTGACCAAGGGTATCAGGACAAGTTTAAAGGCTGCTCAAAGACCTGAGAGGTCATCAAATTAACCCATTCCCAGCCAGATATGGACACCACTTTGCCTTATTGTACTGCAGTCCTTTTCAATACAGAACACCCAAAAGGCTCCTTGGAGCTTAGCAATGCATCTGCCTCAGCTTGTGCTTGCATAAGGACACAATAGGTCTTATTTACACAGGAGTCGATTCTTTAATTTACAAAAGACCAAATTACCCAGATATTGGATCAACAGCTATGGATGATGGATCCTTCACATCTGTGCTGAATAAGACCTTTTCCTTAGAACCATTGAAATTGGACACGGAGATAGTCTTCAAACCAACATCTGCCCAATAAATATTCTTGTAGACCCAATCAACCGCAATAGCTGAAGGAATGTGCAGGCCATCTACAACCTTCATTTGGTGTCCTATTCTGTCATGACTACCCACTGAAACTCTAGGAGAAAGAAAAAATTTAACCGTTAGCTTACACATCAGCATGAAAAGTAAAAAACAAGTCATAAATGCTAGTCTAGCTATTATAGTGAGTCACATGGAGATCAGAAGAGTATGCCATAATTTTTTGGAGTTACAATGCTTACATTTGAACAGTGGTGTTAGCAACTTTAAGTGACTTTGCATTACAAAGTTCTTAAAACCAGCCTAGTCCATTGCGGCTGCAAACAAATCTGGCACTGCAAACAAATCTGGCCCTCAATGCACAGGATCCCATTAGGAATTTACAAAATGCTTTGAAGTTGACAAGGGCAAAAGCACCATAACAAAACATTTTGGTCCAAATACAAACTTAGTAGTTCATGGGAGCTTAAAAATTGTCCATAAATGGCTACACTATGTCACACACCCCGTTGCAAGGACATTACTAATAAGCCTGCTACCAGATCAAAAACAAGGTTTTAATGCTGAAGAAAAAGCAGTAAAGGTGAAAGCTCAGGAAAAAGGTTTCTGTTGCACACCATCAGTAATTGCACATTTGTTATTTTGCTTTAGTTATTTCACATATCCAAAAAGCCATCTTGCCTAGTTTGTTCCCCAAGCAGAAGTTGGTGATGGAAGGGTTTCTACTAGGGATGTCGGATACTGGTACTAGCATCGGTATCGGGACCAATATAGGGTATTTTGACAAGTACTTGTACTTGTCAAAATGCCCCGATACATAGCGCTGAAGCTTGCACTGTTTTTTTTCTTGCCGAGCATCGCGTCACTGCTCCTCCGGTGGGCGGCGCTCCAGGTGGGGTCCTAATTTAGGCAGCCAGCGACTGCCTAGAGCAGGGGTAGCCAAACTCCGGTCCTCCAGCTGTGCTGAAACCACAAATCCCATGAAGCATCTGTCACTGGGTGTCATGCCTGTGGCTGTGGGAATCTTGCAATGCCTCATGGGATTGGTAGTTTTACCACAGCTGGAGGGCCGGAGTTTGGTTACCCCTGGCCTAGAGGATCTCACTCGAAACGCCGCCCACCAGGGCAGCAGTGACTCTCCTCTTCAGCTCAGCGCCGGAGAGCAGCGGCCAGTCAGCGCTGGGAGGAGCTCCAGGTGGGATCTTAATTTAGCTGGACGGCACCTCCAGGTGGGGTCCTAATTTAGCTGGACGGCACCTCTGGGCCAGCTAAATTAGGACCCCACCTGGAGCTCCTCCCACTGGACCAGTGCTGACTCGTCGCTGCTCTCGAGTCCTGCACAGTGAGTGAGGGCAAGGAGGGGCTATTAAGCAGTACACACACTGCTAATACACTGGACAATCTGGTGGTAGTTAAATTTGCACTTTGATGCAAGTCTTAGATGCAGCTGCTTGGCCATGGAAAACCATTCCATGAAGCTCGCCATGCACAGTTGTGCCAATCTGAAGGCCACACGAAGTTTGGAGGTCTGTAGTTATTGACTCTGCAGACAGTTGGCAACTTCTGCATGCACTGACCCCGCTCTGTCATTTTACATGGTCTACCACTCCATGGCAGAGTTGCTGTTCCCAGTTGCTTCCACTTTGTTATAATACCACTAACAGTTGACTGGAGTATTTAGTAGCAAGGAAATTTCACGGAAGACTTATTGCACAGGTAGCAACCCATAACGGTACCACGCTTGAATTCACTGAGCTCCTGTGAGCGACCCGTTCTTTCACAAATGTTTGCAGAAGAGTCCGCATGCCTAGGTGCTTGATTTTTTTATACACCTGTGGCCATGGAGGTGATTGAAACACCTGAATCCAATGATTTGGAGGGGTGTCCAAATACTTTTGGCAATCTAGTGCATTTTAACATGGCATTTAGAAGTTTACATAAGGAATAAAGTGGAACTCTAGGCAAATAGACAAAAAGGAAGCAAAAAAAGCTTTGCAAACTTTTTTGAACTTTAAACCTTGAAGCAACGTTTCTACAAACCCCTGTTAAGTTCTGGACTTCAAGATAGCCAAAGTTTGTTCTATGACCTAGAGACTAGTGTATATAATCAAAGCCAATCATTGACAGCCAAATTAGGTCTAGTTAAATGGCCCTCAAACTGAATATTTAAGAGTTACAGAATTGTAAATTGAAACAAAAAAGGTAATGTTAGTTTCCTGTTGTCAACTCTTAAGCCAAGGATGACAGATCAGAAAAACAGGTCATTCTTAAAGATTTGACTCCCATGTTACAACTAGAACAAGGATTTAATAAAAAAATTGGGAGGTCCTTACTTGAAGTACAAAGTGAGAAGAATTTTCAGACAAGGTTCATATCCATTAAGGCAACTGCAATAAAGCAGCTTTCAGATAAGCCGAGACCTATAAACACCCCCTCATTTTACAGGCATGGCAAGTATCCCCATATAATTCCTCCCATTTCTTATACAGTAGACTATTCCAAGAGGTTTATATTCGTTGTGGATCTACTGACTTCTCAAAGCCATTGGCAAAAGAAACAAGCCTCATCCCTCAGTTATGTACCATTAGACACTGGACAGTTGCCCTTGTAGGGTACACTTAATCAGAATATTGTTGCTGGGGCAATCTTGACAGCAAAGTTATGCTCATTCTATAATGAAGGCAGCACACACCGGTCACTGCTCAGAATCTCAAAAGCCATGCATAGTTTTGTTGGTCATGTGTGGTTTATAGTTTTAACAAAAGGAATTTCTTTTTTTTTGCTATAATACCCAAAAATCCAATGTGTGCAATTTGTGGCATACAAGTTTGTCTGGAGACGGACACACACACCTTGAGCAAAGGCTTTAATCAGTCATTTCCAGTCCCAATACATTTACATGTATTACAGCTCAACACAATTACAGGTTATTAGACATCCAGAAGGAATACTTTAGAAGGCTTTATGCACGAGTCGTGTTCTTAGCAAGTTTGCCATTGGCTTTTCTGAGAAGCCACATTGAACAGTTCTGTGGCAACATTAACTGTCCAAAAAACATTAATGTTTAGTCCCTGTACAACCCATGGAAATTGTAAGGCAAAACCTGCTGTAGCTGGCAAGCAGGATTAGGTTACAATTTTAGACATACCTAAATATTGCCTTTAGATGCGAGTCAGCCCAGAACAGATTCTGGGTTCCGATATCAGCATCCAGGGCCACTGAACTCCTTAATCGCTCCACCAGCTGAATATATTCCTTTCTTTCAAGTCCAACTTTCCGAATATCTCTGCGGTTTGTGAATACGAGACTTGGCTCCGTACCTGTAAACCGAAGAAACCAAGAATGTATACAAATTAGATCAATTAATGCTCTATTCTCCTTAATGATATCTAAATTAACATAGTGTTTTTTCTCCAAGTGTAACCGGGGGGGAGAGATGGGGAAGACATGCCCCCTATGTGATTAAGGTAGAGCCAGTTGCTCTTTTTAGAATCCACATAAGTGTTCACTGAGCTGCATGCAGAGGGATCCCGACATTCACAATGGACTGTTGCACAAAAGGCATGTACTGCATAATGCAAACTGCAATGTGGAACTTTGTAACAATAGCTTAAAAGCACAGTATATCCGTTTTGCTGTAATCACAAGGCTTTAAACCTTACCTACTGCTTTGCAGACTCCTGTAAATGGGTCCATTTGGTACCCTTTGCTGCACTCACACTTGTAGCCTCCCTTCAGATTGACACATATTTGACTGCATACTCCTGGATTTTGGCATTCGTCAATATCTAGGAAAAAAAAAAAAAAGCCAAGACACTAGATAGCATGATATGCATCAGCAGTGGATTTGTTCCATTAAAGCTGGTTAATAGCTTGTTTTCAGGATGAGTGTTCCACTTGAATGTTAACTGCAAAGCTGCATCAACCCACTTCAAAATGCTTTTGCTTCAAAGGCAATGTAAAAAGTAATTGACAGGTATATTTGACTTTAAAGGCTTAAAAAGTAGTCAAGTAGGAACGGGATAAGTTTTTTCCCTGCAAATTACCTTTACCCTCCTTGTAGTTTATGCATGGCAGCCAAAAATTGCACTATCCAGAACAGCATGAATGCAGCAGCTTAACTGGAGTTTTAGGGCCTGTCAAAAGCATAAGCTTCAGACCAAGTTTAATGTCAGGCATTTATATAGGGCTGACAATTTATGCAGCGCTTTACATAGTGTACATTCACATCAGTCCCTGCCCTCATGGAGATTACAATCCAAGGTCCCCATCTCACATGCATACCAGGGACAATTTACCTTCCAGCGGGTCTTTGGAGATCATTCAGAATTTGTTGCAAGGTGCATTTGACATGCAGTTGACCTCCTGACCTGCTTTTAATGGGTTTTCCATTCTCTGCCTCATGGAACTGCAAAGCCTAATTGAGGCAAAGGCCTGTTAACACACAAGCCCCTAAACAGTTAAGGGCATGTGTGAATGAACTGTTCAATTTGGTTTTGAACTCCCATATAAGAATGCAAACCTGTGACGAATAAAAAACAGGCCAAATGCAGGTCAGAATGAGGGGGTTGGAGAAGGTCAACTGCAGATCAGTCAATTGTAACTGATCCAAGAAGCATCTTAAAGTGATGTTAACACGCCCAAAGCACACAGACCTAGGCTTTTTAAATACCACCCATCTGCTCATAAGAAAAAAAAATACAAACAAAAGACCAAACACTTACCACCACATGTCTTACGGTCAATGAGTTCAAACCCAGCTGGGCACTCGCATTCATAGCCAATAACCAGATTCCGGCAGTGGTGAGAGCAACCACCATTATTGACCAAACATTCATTTAGACCTAAAAAAACAAACATTTTTTTACAATCCATCCCCCCCAAAACGTGAAAGCATAAGCAAAAAGCATTTAAGACCAACTTGACAAAACTCTAAACTGACCTTGCCACCACATTTAGAAATGAGGAAAGGCCATGCAGGGTACATGCAAGTTTGAATGAGAAACACATTTCTCCACAAGGTCCTACAAATAATTGCTGGTCTGACTTTACCATAAGATTCTGTGGACAGTTACAGTAGGGACCGCATTTGGGTCTGTGCATAACTCTGTATGGTCACATTCACACATTTGGATATCACTGCCGAAAAACAAGCTACTTACCACATTCCTTTGCAGGCTCATCACTGCCATCTTTGCAGTCATACTGCTTGTTGCAAACCTTGTTTATATTGATGCACTCGCCAGATCTGCACTTGAATTTACCAGGTCCTGAACACTGAATGACTGAAGTCAATCAGTATAGGGGGAAAATGAAGAACCATCAGACTGGCACTTTTGTACAGACATAACACCGAAAATAAAGCCACATTATGTGCCCACCATTTTTACAGCGGATTTCATCAGTGCCATCAAGACAGTCTCTCACACCATCACATTGACGAGTGCCATGAATACAATTCCCATCTTCACATTTGAATTGGTCAGGCCAACATATTTGAGATGCTGAGAAGAATAAAATAAAAGAGTCTTGCAGTTTAAACTGCTTTTACTTGGTTTAAGGTTTTAAGGGTTAAAATCTACTTTGCAATGTTAGGAGAGGTGGTAGGGGTCTGAGGTGGCTTGTCCATTGTAGGTTATTTAAGTGAAAAAAATCCTCAACTTCAGTCCCAAGCCTTTTCATTAGGACAGACTGAATGTGCAGGGTGTGGACTGTCTGAGGAGGAAATGATTCCTCACTCTGTGTGAATAGGATCACATGACAGGGTTTCTCAAATCTGACTGCTGCAAAAATGGAAATACACTTTTAAGTTAAGTTGGTGTATCCCAGACCAAGCAGCACCCCATCGTAATTTTTTTTTTTTTTTAAAGGTTATGAAATATTAAAGGGAGAAAAAAAACTTCCAAACCTTTAGGTCGTACCCAT